AGTTCTTTATTGCTAGCAGATTTTATCTTTGGATTGTTCTTTTTCAAGGAGCTTGGAGTAACCCCATGTCCTTTACCCCTCACCCGACCAGAATACTCATGAACATCTAATGCTCGACTAAGTATGCTCCTGCAATCATCTGGTGGAGATGTAGACTGAGACAGACTCTCCTGTAATTCATATGAATATTGGAAAAACATGAATACTATATGTTAATAAAATTTTGGTTTAATTAGAATTAATGTTATACTTACGCATTTTTCAAAAATTTGTTGTACATCTTCTTTAAGAACTCCATCCTTACCCACACGGGCACCCTTCCACAAAACATGCTCCGGAAGAGATGTTTCAGAACTACTCTCCTCTTTTAACTACACATTAACACAAAAAACAAGCTCAGTTATAACTATTGATGAACAAGTATATCATTGCAATTTGTAAATACTTACTATTTTTTGTTCTAATCGTGCATATCCCAAACGCCCTTTTTTGTATGGATATGCGGGAGATGATGCTCTTTGACGATTTACTTCACTTACACTCTGAAATTTTGGGGTTTTCCATTTGGCTTTAAAAACATCCCATTCTTTAACTGAAATCACATCCGTATATTCTGCTGGACACTCTGCATCAACAAATTTTTTTTCGGCATCTCTAAGATATTTTCTGTTTAAATATGTTCTAAACCCTCTTAGTATTTTTGCCGGCCAATCCAAGACAATAATCTTTTCTATTGTCATCAATGTTGAAAGACCTCTACAAAAAACATACACAAAGTGCGTTAGTATAAGTAATTTAAAGACATAATTTAAAGTACATAATCGTAATTTAAAGACATAATTTAAAGCACCTGTATCTCACTCCAGATTTTATTTTTAGCACCATTCAGCTTATCATCTCTCCACTCATCATAAGTTATTGGAATTTCTCTCCTTACAAGTGTACCAATGTAACTTGTCAATTTAGAACCGTTAGGCTCAATTAATTGGTCATTTGGACTCCAAATGCACATCGTATTTTATACCTCCATCTCTATCACGAATGATATTCTTCATAATAGTTTTTCCTCTTTTTATTTCTTTTTCCACTCCCTTACTGGATTTTCCTCCATCATTGTCTCCATCATTAATAGAATCATCATGTGGGTGCTCCTCGTTACTAGCCATCTAACCTGTAATAAAGAAAAACATTAGTATCTAATGACAAATATTTAATTCCAAATATATAATTCCAAATATCTATTCAGTATATAAAATGACAAATATCAATTGAGTATATAAAATGACAAATATATAATTTATTAGAAGTTTTCTAAGTGTTAACATGTATGGAGGAATATATATTACCTCTTTCACTAACATCTCTTTCTTTTCTTGGTTGGATTACGAATTACTTGTATCTTAAGAACGCAGACGGAGGGATTGATCCAAATTCCCTTATCATGATCTTTTCTGATATATGATTTATCCGCTGTAGTATTTTTATCTCGGTCGTTTCTAATATACGACTCATTCTCAACATCAACATCAACTTGATCCACACTTTTATCATCAATCACTTTGTTAGATAAAAGCACTATAGAACATTTCGTACTCTTCGGGTATGTGACATAGAACACTTGTATAGCTTGAGAGGCTAGAATAAAAGGCTCATCTTTGTACCCCATCCTACTAAGATCCACTTGCAAAAACCCTGACTTATCCATTCGTATGCCACTAGTATGTACCCACTTGCAACCAAAGATAGGAATCTGAAACTTCTCGTAATTAAACACCCAGATGTGATTGATAACCCCAAAATATGACAAATTTTCATATTTGGGGTTTAAGTCCTTCATACTAGAAATGTGCATTGCTTCACATACCACCGTGACACCACTATTTTGCATGGTACTTTTCTCATCTTGTTCTTTGGTATAAAATGTGTATCCATTAATTCTGTATCCTCTATAAGAGAACATAATCGAACTTGGACCATATGCCAAACATCTCAACCTGTCTGATATTGAAGCGGGATCTGAATGAAAATTTGAATATATATGATCCTTAAACCACTATATAAAACTTTGATTGTGCTCTCGTACTATCCAATTTTCATTTCTACTTTGATTCTCACCTCAGAGTATAGCCTTGTGCATTTCAACAAACGGCTCAACCTCAGTGTCATTGTGCAGAACATACAAATGCACTTGATCCCGTTCATCCCTTGATACTGTCACAATTTCATTTCCAATTAATTTTTTACCTTCTTTTTTTTCGAAAATATGAGATTTGGGGAGTCCAATGGATTGCACATTGGACAAAAAATCAGTACAAAACTCAACCGCTTCTTCAACAACGTATCGCTCAATGATACAACCCTCTAGACGACTTCGGTTTTTCACATACCCTTTTAATATTTTCATATAACGTTCAATAGGGTACATTCATCTCATATAAGCTAGTCCACACAATTGTGTCTCTTTCACAAGATGAACAACAAGATGTACCATAATGTTAAAAAATGATGGAGGAAAATACATTTCAAGGTCACACAGAGTAATAATGATTTCTTTTTGTAATACTGGTAAGATCTCAGGATTGATCACCTTACTACAAATTGACCTGAAAAAAAACACAATTTAGTTATAGCGCTTCTTACTTTTTCTGGAAAAATAGAACATATACCTATTGGTAGAAAATGTTCCATTATGACATGGAAATCATGTGTCTTCAGACTCTTTAACTTGAGGTCTTTCATGGACACGAGTCTTCTAATGTCTGAGGAGTAACCTTCTGGAACTTTAACTTCACTCAGAAACTTACACAATATTTTCTTTTCCTTTCTAGATAGAGTATAAGCAGCAGGTGGTAGATATGTTCGTCTTCCTTTCTTCACGGGTCCTAATTCAGTTCTTATTCCCATCTCTACCATGTCCTCTCTTGCTTTAAGGCCATCCTTAGACTTTCCTTTTATATTGAGTAACGTACCAATAACACTTTCAAATACATTTTTTTCAATATGCATAACATCAAGAAAATGTCTTACGTACAAAGATTTCCAATATGGCAATTCAAAAAAAATTGACCTCTTCTTCCACCCACCTGTGACAACTTTATGTGCAAAAGGCTTGCGAAACTGAATACTCACATCTTTCACCTTTTCACAAATTTGATCACCTGTCAATCCAGGTGGAGCTCTACGTTGTTCGGTATTTCCATTAAACGCTTTTCTCCATCCACGATATTGATGTTTTGAATTTAAGAATCTACGATGACCGAGAAAGACATTCTTCTGACAAAGTTTCAATCATGTCATATCGGTTCCATCTTCACAGACAGGACACACTTTTTCACCTTTAATGCTATACCCGGATAGATTTCCATATGCTGGAAAATCGTTAATTGTGCCAAACAACATCGCCCTCAAATTGAAACTTTCTTTCCTATATCCATCATAAACCTCCACACTGTTCTCCCATAAAATCTCCAAATCTTCGATTAAAGGTTTCAAGTATACATCTATGTCATTCCCTGGTTGTTTAGGCCCAGAAATTAACATAGATAACATTATGTACTTGCGCTTCATACATAGCCATGAAGGTAGGTTATAAATCATAAGAATTACAGGCCATGTGGAATGTGAGATACTTTGAAGACCATGCGGGTTCATTCCATCCGTAGATAATGCCAAGCGAAGGTTTCTTGTTTCTCCTCCAAAATCAGGATAATCATTATCAATTTTCTTCCACTGTGGTGCATCTGCCGGATGTCGAAACTTTCCATCGATAATTCTTTCATCTGCATGCCAAGTCAAGTGTCTAGCATCAGTTTCACTATGAAACATGCGTCTAAATCTCGGAATAATAGGAAAATACCATAAGACTTTTGCTGGAGATAATTTTTTCTTATATCGAGATAAACCGCACTTTGGGAACTCATTCAATGATGCATATTCGTTTCGAAACAAAATACAATCATTTAGACATGCATGTATCTTATCATAGCTCATGCCAATAGAGCACAACATTTTTTTGGCCTCGTAGGTTCGATTAGGAAGAACATTATCCTCAGGAAGCATATCTCTCAAAAGGGCTAATAACTGTGTGAAACTTTTATCCGACCATCCATTGCGCGCCTTTAAGTTGTACAATTTTAATACCGCAGACAATCTTGTGAATTTGGGGAAATCTTTATACAACGGTTTCTCCGCATCGCTTACCAACCTCTCAAAAATTTTGGGACAATCTTGAAGATCTTCTTCAAGTGCTTCTGCAATCTCTTCAACTCGATCACAATCATATGTATCCGTGGCATTGTCGTACGAAACATAGGTCGCATTACTTTTCACCCCCGGTTCAATATTCTCGATGCTTTTCTCACCATGAAATATCCAACACGTATAACTTCGATCAATTCCGCGCATTAGTAAATGCGATTTCAATCCATCTGCGTCAACCCGACCCACATAACAACAACCCAAGCAAGGACATTTCATTCTATTCGGGTCTTCAGCGTGTTCAACAGCAAACTTAACGAACTCTAATACCCCATTCTCGTACTCTTTTGATAATCGATCAGCACACATCCATTTTTTATCCATGGTTTTAACTATTATCTAAGTTAAACAAAAACACTAATTAGGCCACAAAACGGTATAATGCGTTTCTGCCAAAACACAAAGTATACACGGATTTTATTATTCAAGTGAATATGTCATTGTTACGTGAACCTCTTGTGTTGATTATTACTAACTTGGATTATAAGCAATGTGGTGGGAGTACAATGAATTTAAAGAGTCTGTGTTGTCAACAAAAATCAAACATGTGATTAGAATAATTCTAGAAATGAGGATTGTAACGTGTGAGTGAAAGGAGCATAGCCACGAATGTGGTCCAACCTTAGAGGCCTAGTTCATGTTACTATTGTGGTCCTATAACATATTCAATCAATGATCATCAACGTTACAATTTTAGAGACATTAGCTTAGTTGTGAACTCATTCGAAGATTCATGATTTGTGTTATTTTTTACTATTACTAAGTTGAATACTAGATTGAACAAACGGAAACCTATGATCCAAACTCAAGTAAACCGGAAAAAGTCCTCTCGCCGCGATAAACTCATTTAAAGGACCATTAACATTAAGAGTACTAGTAATCACGGTAATATTCCTCTCAGACATAACCTCCGCAAAAGACCCCGAACCAATTCCAATATTAAAACCTATTCTAATCCCACCATTTCCTAATTGCAAAACATCATCAACAAGAAAATCATTCTTACTATTAGACTTAACAAATCTTTGATTCTCATATCCATTAACCAAATCAAAGCAATGAACACAATCTCTATTCAGTTTCCTACCATTCAAACACTCAAAACTCTTGCAGTTAAAACCATTCCAATTCACTGTTTTATTACTAACAGGCTTCCATAGTGAAACCGGAAAAGGATGAAGAAATTTTACCTTAGATGAAACCGATTTTGCGAAACTTCTTCTTCTAGGTAAAGGCTCACACTGTTTTTGAATTAGTTTCTCTATCACGAGGAGATGGTGGTGTGCCTGATGTTGTAGGGCGCACCCAAACAAGTGTCTTTGCGGGTGAAACAGTAAAACTGGACCATTAGAATAATCCACATCAGATACTATAATCAAAAGCAAAAGACAAATTCTCGAATCCAAACTGTTGTACCCCAAAATTTGCCCTCCCATTTCCTCAACATTTTCTCATCACAAGACATTTAAAGATCAAGATATAATTAGGGTTTCCTCTGCTCAAGACTTCTCCTTGCACTGTGGACTCAAATTAGGGTTTGTGCTTGCACAAAGATGTTTTGACCTAAAATGCCTAAGATGACTTTCATGCTTCATATTGGACTCCCAAGTTTACCCATACCAAGTTTCAGGTCTTGATTCCAAGTTTTACCCAGTCAATTGGACAGTTGACCTAGAAATCAGCTGTATTGAGGAAAAAGTCAACTGTGGCCAATTGACAGTCAAACCTCATGAAATTTGATCCACATCAACATTTTGAATTCATATGAACCATTTGATCAAGTTTGAATCACAATTCCACAAGAAATTTGATCAGATCACCAAAAGGGCAAAATGGTCATTTTTAGGGTTTTGACTGCACAAAGGCAATTTTTGACTGTTTGACCTAGCCAATGGCAAACCAAGCTCACATATGGACTCAAGGACCCCATGGAATTATCTTGACATGTTCATCAAGCTCAAAAGATCCCAAGTACACAAGATTGACAATTAAATTTCCCAGTCAATTGATCAATTTTGACTGTATACTGAAAAGTCAAACTTTGACTTTTTGGTCAAAATCAAGAGTCAAGATTCATTTTTCATCAAAACATGCCAAATCATGAAACTTGTTCACCAAGAAATCATAAAATGCAAATTAGGGTTTGAAAATGGAATTTTTCATAACTTAGAATTTTTCTAAGTTATGGAAAACCCTAATTTTTTCCCAACTTTGCCCCATCTTTTCACCATGATCCATTTGGATTCAAACAAAAGTCAAAACATGAAAGTTGTAGCTTGTTGCATAATCTACAACTTTGATTCACAAAGTTTTCTCATTTGAAGCTTGAATCTCAAGTTATGATTTTTTGAATAAGGGCACTAAACCATCTTTTAACTTAGTGAAATTTGACCTATTTTGACAAGGTTTTCTACCCTACTTCAAGGCCACTTTTCATACCCTTCCACTTGGAATTTCAAAATGCATTTCAAAGATGGATTGTAGTACACATTCCAAGCTTTCCAAGATGTCCAAGAACTCATCAAACAACCTCATAACTTGAGAGATTCGAATTTCACAAGTTGGCAAAAATTCACTTTTGTTCTTCATCAAGACATGTTCATAACCTTGCCAATTTGAAATCAGTTTGCTTTATGCTTGATTACAGGTCCTTGAACCATTTCATACTCAATAATTTAATGCATATTCAATGTGTTAAGGTCATGTTCTTTGTGTTCTAACATTGCATAATGGTTTAATCCTAAACTAGATAAAGTGGAATTTCCATTTTTGAAAAGTTTAGCTTTATGTCAATTGGTAAATCAAACAAGTACATAGAAGATCTGCTTAGCACAAGATTATGGGCATAACACACTGATCAAGAGGAGTTGATGCAGCACATTAGGGGGTCCTATACTGACCTAGAACACCAATTTGCTTTTGGTAGCTTAAGTGTGAAGAAAGGTCCATAACATATGCTATCTCTCATATCAGTCAAAGAACACAGCACAAAAGATATCAAACACATTCCATAGACCATATTGAAGCTTTTGCACGAGCCATTTCCCTTTCAAACCCTCTCCATCTCAGGATCATCCTCAAACTGCAAAAACAGGGGTGCCCCTGCAGTTTGAGTGCAATCTCTCAATCCCTTCAAGCATTTCTGTCCAAACCTGTTCCTCTACCTTCCTTACAACATATGCAAGCTATCCAGAAGCTAAGGCACGATCTGTAGCTGCTCTAACCACTTCCACCATTTTCACATCTTTGACTTGCAGGTGAAGTTCTACAGCTTGATACAAGAAGGTTCAAGACAAAGTAAGCATTGAAAAAGCATCCCTGGACCTCAAGGAAGCTTTTCCAATCATTACATTGCACTGAAAGCCTCTCATTCTCCACATAGAAGTTCAACTGCACAGGTAAAAGTTTGAATTCGTATCTCTCTTATTAGGCATCTTTAGTCTTAAGTTTGTGAAGAAACAAAGTCCTACTCATAGCCCTGAACATGTACATAGCTTTACTTTTCATTTCTTTTGCCTGAGTAGAGAGAATTTGAGCTCTGAAAATGGTAGAAAAATTAGGTCAGGAAAGAGGGGGAGAGAAATTCTCCCTCATCTTAGAGAGATAGGACATGTTCTTTATATGGTTAGAACCGTCTCTTCATGCTTAACATCTTTTGTGTTGGAAGTTTGTTCAAAAAATCAAGGAATCAGGAGTTAGACATTGAAGCAAGAGGCGCGCGTTTTTTCAAAGTTTGAAACTGGAGGTTGAAGACAGTGTGTTATTGGGCTGGGCTGTTGTTGTTCTTTCTTTTCACACCATCCTTTTTGGCTTACACCCCCCTGAGCCCATTTGCTTATTTTTAAACATTTTTGACTTTTTTCTTTTTGGTTGACTTCACTTATTTTTTCTCATGCCATTAAAAAATTAAAAATATTTTTTTCATAATTTTTTGCATTTATTGCATATTTATTTGATTATTTGTTTAGTTTGTACATAAATATATATATATATATATTTGATTATTAGAAAATGTAAAAATAATGTAAATACATTTTTATTTTTATTTACTTTCTGAAAATATTTCACACAAAAAACACTCTTTTATTTATTTTATTAAAATATTAAATAAATAAATATTTTTTGTATAATACATATCTAGGGCTTAATTATATATATATATATATGATTATTAATATATTTAAGACAAAAATATAAAAATATTTGATTTTTTTCATTTTTATTTAATATTTGATACAAAAAATACCTTTTTCACAATACACTTCATTTTATTTTATTTTTTATAAATAATAAATAAATAGTAAAATTAAATTAGGTAATAATACCTTTTATTTAAAAATTAGGGTTTTCCACCCTAAGTTTCAAAATACTAAAAAATAAATACATTTTTATTTTCTTTTTCCTTTTACATAAATAATATTTTTCTCATACACATAGAAACTTTCTTTCTACATTTCATATATTTGTTTAATTTATATTTAATTATGCATTGCAAAATATCCAATTGTTGTAATAATTTAGATTTAAATTCTTGTCAATATCCCCATTTGAACATTTGTACCCCCCTTCCCATATTTGGTTGTGTAATAGCTTAGTAATTTTAATTTCGCACTTTATTGCTTTCTAAATAATAACATGCTAGAATTAGGGTTTGTATGCGAAAAAACGATAAAAAAATAGTTTGACCTAATACAAGATAAACAAGCATGAAAATGGACACACAAATCACACTCGCACCCCCTAGGGTATTCCACTTGCTGCCTTCAAATAAATGGGCCATATTGTATGTTGAACATCTTTGGGCAAAACAAACAGTTTGAATGATCATAGTCCCTCGATAAAACTTTTCAAAACAAACAAAACAAATGATCAAGTCCCTTAGAGAAATTGCCCAAAGACATTTAACGTCGTTACAATTATGGTCTAAACGATGACCCGCGCCTGTCCCTTTCACATCCTAACACAAGGTTGCCCACCAACACCATGGTGGTGCAAACTTGTTAAAAGGGTTAGAATATAGCAATAATCTTTTGAGAAATTTAGGAGTAGATAACCTCTTAGTTACTTGAACCAACTTGCAAAACAAAACACTTGCCTTCTTTTCAAAAACCACAATCCACTACACTTTCAAAACAACTTTCAAAACAAAATGAAAACCTTTTCAAAAGACATACATCTTTGTATACATCCCCACATGGATCATTACAAAGGTTGCCACCACATTGGCCTCTTTTCAAAAAACATTTTCAAAACCCACACACTCAAGCACCATTTAAAACAATTGAAAACAAAAGGCAAGTGATCTAAGCAAGTAACTAAGAGCCCATGGATAACCATGGATAGAAAGGGTGCTAATACCTTCCCTTTCTATAATCTACTCCCCGAACCCAAGAAAACATCTCAAAAGGTTTTTTGCTGTGCTTTTTAACCTTTCCTTAGGGTAAAATAAAAAGTCGGTGGCGACTCTTGCTAACCGCAACATTTGCGAATACGAACGCAAACCTCAAGTCAGTTCTCCCACCGTATCACAGAACTGGCGACTCTGCTGGGGAATTACTTAAAAGTGGAGTAACCTTAGGGTTTTAGATCACCTTTGTTTTCAATTGTTTGCTTTGTTTGCTTTTATATTTGTGGGCTTTGCATCGGAGTTTCATAGATCCTAACCCGGATCTGGGAAATACCCTTTTTAGGTAGCATAATCTGTGAGGGACCTGTCCGGCGTAGACCGACATGGGTGAAGCAGTGGCTACGTTGGTGTGGCATCTTAGTCTGTACCTATATCCCTTGTGTTGTAACGGGGAGAATATAGGTCTTCTAAGGGGTTATTAAACACCAACCGACCTTAGAACCCTAAATTGACCAACTTGGCTATTAGGACAGTAGCAGTATGCTACACTCATTGAGGCTAAACTCTCGAGATGGTTCTGGCCGCGAGAAAAGATTGCGATGCCGGAGTTATGACCGATTGAGGGTAGCCAATGATTTGAGATCCCCTAGAACCCGGTTACTTTTGATAGGACAGGTTTTAACCAACAAAACCAAAAGAGGGTAATACCTGAAACTCATGCTGGCCTGAAACCTAAGGGTGTCTTGTGTGACTTGTGTGCTTTATTCGCCTATGTGAATACTTGTGATGTGCTTCATCATAGCATCATGCCATCATACCATTGCATGCATAAAAGGCTAACCCATTTCAAAGACAAAAAGGTTTCATCTTTGCTCTGTTTTGTAGGACATCATGATGCCCGTGCGTAGAAATACTGTCCGGCTCAACTTTGTTCAACCACCAGTTTTACTCAAATATCTGGTTGAAAGAATTCCAAACACTACCTCCTTCATCAACAGACATGGTTCCCTCCTTGGCTTGATCACTGCAAAATGGGACCAACAACTGATAAGTGTTCTGACCCAGTTTTATGACCCTCTGCATCATTGT